ATAGTTTTGTTTTATCTTTTAATATAAATTTTCTTTTTTTACTGTTTACTGGCAAATGTTGGTTCATTTGTTGAGTGTACTCATTTGTTGAGTGTACTCACTTTAAGCAGCCTTTTACAAAATCACCCCAAGACTGGAAGCTGTGCCGTCATATGCAGTAGGTGGCAGCAGTGTTCACAAAAAACGACGTTGCTATTCAATGATTGTTACTCCTAAAGTCAGCATTACGTTCTTAATTTCAAAGTACTGTATAAATGGACTGACTTTTACCCTTTTTAAGTTGCCTCTGTGCCTGCATTTGGTTTTTGGTTGCAATTATATTCTATTACATATACATTGTTTCTCTTAACAAGGACACAACAAATACATTATTCTTGGAGTCTCCATTCTGTATTTCATAGTTCACTTCTAGCCAATGTAATCCACTAGAAAGAAGGAAAATGGATGTTAAGTATTAATCTACTTTATCCCTTAGAGGAGCACTAATGGATCTTAAACAAAGTGAAAGGGAAGAAAAATGTAGACCTAATCCTCATATATAGAGTTTAAAGTGGTTAAAGCATTTCACAAATAGGGGACTTCCGCCAAGATGGAGGCGTAGGTGGGAACACTTTGCGTCCTCACACAACCAAATCTAAAAACAATAAAGTTTTAACAACAATAAACATAACCAAACTATACAGAAAATCAAATACGGAGTCCGGAAACAATGGACCACTCAGCTAAACCAATGAGAGGGGCGAAACCAGCAGCAGAGCCAGTCAGGCCAAAAAGATCCAGGTGGTGCACAGGCAGCCGGGGGCGTGAATTCCAGGTGCGGGCTAGCTATAGGCGGAACCCAGGGAAGAGGCGCTGCTGGCTGTCTGCAGTCGGTCACCCATTTGCAGGTAGATAAACCAGTGAAGAGGAGAGCGTTGAGACAGATTTCACAGGCCCAGCGACTGGCACAGGGCGGCAGACTCGCACGTTTGCACTCGGATAAGCAGGCGGGGCCGAGCAGTGAGGCGGACTGGGCAAGCAGAGAGGACCACCATTGCTCCCGCTGTAACCCCGCCCCCACATACAGCGTCGCAAACCTGCGACTTGGGTGGCCCCTCCCCAGTAAACACCAAGGCACCTCTCCTCCTACATAACAGGCTTGAACAGATCAAAACATGGCTCAAGAACAACTCAGAGCCCCAGAGCCAATAAATCTAAGCAATGAAGAAATAGCCAAACTTTCAGATGCACAGTTCAAAATACTGGTGATCAGGATGCTCACAGAACTGGTTGATTATAGTCACAAATTAGAGGAACATATGAAGGCTAAAGTAATTGAAATGAATGGAAATACACAGGAAACCAATAGTGATGGAAAGGAAACTGGGACTGAAATCAAGGGAGTGGACCAGAAGGAAGAAAAAAATGACCAAACAGAAAAGGATGAAGAAACAAGAATTCAAAAAAATGAGGACAGGCTTAGGAACCTCCAGGACATCTTGAAACGTTCCAACATCCAAATTATAGGAGTACCAGAAGGGGAAGAGGAATAGTCACAAGTGGAACACTTATTTGAACAAATAATAAAAGAGAATTTCCCCATTCTGGCAAAGGAAATAGACTTCCAGGAAATCCAGGAAGCTCACAGAGTCCCAAAGAAGTTGGACCCAAGAAGGAACACACAAAGGCACATCATCATTATATTAGCCAAGATTAAAATGAAGGAGAGAATTTTAGAAGCAGCAGGAGATAAAGGGACAGTCACCTACAAAGGAGTTCCCATCAGACTGTCAGCTGATTTCTCAAAAGAGACCTTACAGGCAAGAAGGGGCTGGAAAGAAGTATTTCAAGTTATGAAAACCAAAGACCTACATCCAAGATTGCTCTATCCAGCAAAATTTTCATTTAGAATAGAAGGGCAGATAAAGTTCTTCTCAGATAAGATCAAATTCAAGGAGTTCATCATCACCAAGCCCTTACTATATGAATTGTTAAAGAGACTTACCTAAGAAAAAGAAGATAAAAAAGATGAACAGTGAAAGGACAGCAAACTCACAGTTATTAACAACCACACCTAAAACAAAAGCAAACTAAGAGGACAGCTAGATCAGGAGTGAACCATAGAAATGAAGATCACATGGAGGGTTAGCAACAGGGGAGTGGGAAGAGGAGAAGGGGGAAGAAAGTACAGAAAATAAGTAGCATAGACGGTAGGTAGACAATAGATAGGGGGAGGGTAAGAATAGTAGGGGAAATGTAATGGCATAATCAATAAAAAAAAGTTAAAAAAATAAAGTGTGAAAGCATTTCATTATTGCTCTCTCCCCCAAACTATCTCCTTATCTAGAATTTCCAGCTTCTGTTAAAACTACCATTATTCTATTATTTATCTCTTTTAGAAATCTTATGAATCCTGTATCTATGTGGCATCCAAGAAATGTTTCTTTGTAATATACTCATAAATGTTTCCCTACACTACAAAAATAGTATGAACAAATAGGTATCAAAATAAAACAAAAAACTATCATCCTAAAAGCAACTCTTAGTACTGAAAATTATAAGGTTAGCAAATTAAATCATTCTGACAGAGCTACTAACATCACTTCTATAGCAGTGATTTCTCACCTTTAGTTTTGTCTCAAAAGACAAAATAGGAGTAACAAAAATTACTAGAGAATACAGTATTTTTTATGGAGTCTCCATTTAAAAGGGTCCTATTATAAAAGACCTGTGTGCCATGGTTGAATACATTGCTGATGCTCAAAAAATATTTAGTGCTGGTCCTGCCAGTGTGGTTCAGTTCATTGCCCATCATCCCGCAGAGCAAAAAGTCACCAGTTGGATTCCCAGTCAGCGCTCATGTCTGGGTTGCAGGTTCGTTCCCTGGATGGGGCAACTGATCAATGTTTCTGCCATGCATCAAAATTTCTCTCCCTCTATTTCTCCCTTCCTTCCCTTCTCTCTAAAAATAAATAAATAAAATATGTCAAAGAAATATTAATTATTGAATAAAAATGAAGCTCAAAATCAATGAGAATCCTTTAAAGTGTTTTAATCAGGGGACTGACTTGATGAGACTGCTTCTTAAATAAATCAGAGAAGAAAAATAGTGGAAAGTAAACTGCTTAGAGGCCTATTGTTACTCCAGATAAGAAGTCATTTAGTCCATCCCTTCATTTCACAGGTGAGGAAGCTGAGATCCCCAAAAAGTTGAGTGGTTTGTTTAAGGTCTCAGAGCAAGTTATTAGCAAAACTGGCTTTTCTCCCTATGCCTAAGCACTTCTTTTTTTCACTACATTCCCTACAAATTCATTATTCAACACCTAAACTTGAGATATCTGTAATAGGATTGCCAATGTAATGGCACAGTGGTACAATGATACTGGAAATTTTCAGGTCTAACCACTTTCAACCACTGATGATTCCTAACATCTTCCCTCCCTCCCTCCCTGCCTCTTCTCATTTCTTAGTTCTTAGTCACCCTTTCACTTCCTCCCTGTGTTACACCAGCTTCCAGTTGCCAAGTGGTAGATTTCATCACTTACTCAAATCAAGAGTTTTTCTTTTATCATTTAACTCATTTTTTTATTATATTGAAAATAAAACATAATGTGATTTTTATCTCAAAAAATGAAGTTGGATTTAAATTTTATATGTGAAAATTTAAGAAAAAGGAAGCAGGTCTCAATTTAATATAAAGGCAAGACATCTGACTGATGTGGTTCAATGGATTGAGTGCTGGCCTGTGAAACAAAGGATCACTGGCTCAACTCCCAGTCAGGGCACATGCCTGGGTTGCAGGCCTGGTTCCCTGGATGAAGGATGCTCAAAAGGCAACCACCCATTAATTTTTCTCTCCCTCTCTTTCCTCTCTCTAAAAACAAATAAAATAAAATCTTTAGAAAAAGACTGCTCCTGAACACTTTTCTCTAGGTTACTAACAATCAGACTGTATTGTTACACCTTACTTTGTAGACAATTTGGCTCCCCATATCTATTACTGCAGATCCAACAGAAACCCCAAGTGGCAGAGAAAACCATGTGGTCTCTCCATTAGAAAAGGAGGATCAGACTAAAGGTTGCTGGCTTGTTTTGATTTCTGAAAATAGGCCAGTTTAATTGCAGAGAATGCTCAGACTCAGGCTACAGAATTATGAGTTTTTCTGAAATACTGAGGCTGAAATAAGAAACGGTAAAACTTCTTAGGACCCCTGCAAAATGAACCAGAAGTCCCCCCAGTGTTCCCTTCCCCCATCATTCTTTTTGCAATGTTGACCTAACTCTGTTCTCTGAGGGACTATTGCCCACATGGAACTGTTCATTGCATTTTGGCCCCAGTGTAGCTCTGTAAATCTTACTAGATAATTGAAGGGACCCCATCTGTGCATCAGACCATTAGTGATCCATAGCTCAGAAAGCATTTAAAAAAGTTTGAAAATTCATAGCTTTCTCTTCCAAACATATTTTGTCAAACATCTAGTGGTAACCCAAGAATTCAAAATACTGACAAGAAAGTGGAAAATCCCATGTTCCCGTAACTGTGTTATGCTTTAGTGGACATGGGAAACGGGAAAAAGAGCGTCATTTTTCTAAAAATTTAAACAAAGCTTGGCCCTGAAAAAACAACAGAAATAGCCACAATAAAATTATTCTATGAATTAATTTTTAGTGAAGTGGAGTTAATTCAAGTCACGCCTTCTGAGGATGACAATGGACAGCAATTGAAATAAAAAAAACGAACATGACCTGGATGTCTCTTCTAAAACTCGTAATCTCTGAACCAGTTCCTTTCATCCTCTGGTGGTATTCATCTTCGGTTTATTTTGCTACTATAATTCTAAGTACATGTAGTTAACTAGGGATTGCTCTCTCAAAGTTGGTCTATGCCTGTTTTCTCTTACCTCATAAAAAGTAAAGGAAAGAAAGTGTGTGTGTGTGTGTGTGTGTGTGTGTGTGTGCATGCGTGTGTGTCCTGTTGGTGGTTTAAAGTCAAGTTGGGACTTCCTCTTTGAACAGCTGCCTTTTCCCCTCACACAAGGGAGATCTCATTTTGTCTGAGACGATACAGCTGAACACAAACCACATACCAAGTGAGCATGATGGCTAAGAAGCCCCCGAAACCAGCCCCTCGCAGGATCTTCCAAGAAAGGTTAAAGATTACTGCTCTACCCTTATACTTTGAAGGTTTCTTATTAGTTAAGCGGTCAGAATACCAGGTAAGTCCACAGATGATAATGTTGAACTAGAAGCTTCTGTATTAATATAACATTTATTTCATGATGTTGTGATGTGACAAGGGCCTCCTTGTTCCTGTTGGGATTAAACCCCCTTCCAGGAGCTCAGAAATAGTATTCCAACTTTGCATAATTTAAATACAAGGTATGGCTTAAACATATGTGTATATGTGTATTATACTAAAGAATAACATAAGGTTTTAATATTACATTACTAAGATTAAAAAGTCAATAAATCAAATTTTTAAGCAATTCATTTACATATCACAGAAGATTTTGGCTTAACAGATGAAATGTTTCCTGTAGTTTCTCCTCAATTTACTACTGTGCTTTCATGATGACTTGTATCATTAAAATAAAACATTGTGATTGAAAATGAACCTTCTGTTCTTATTTTTACTTGTGTGAAGATTGTAAATAATGATCAAATTGTTTTTTAAAGTGTTAAACTGTTGTAAAAAGTTGTGAAAATGACAAAAGTAATACTGTTAACATTATGTATAATAATATGTTCTAAAACCACTGTTTAAGATTCTGAGTTTAAAAGATAATTCTTAGTGTAATTGAAAAATTTCTGAAGGAAAAAAATTATACTTGGGTGCTTTGTGGGTGGTATGTACTTGACATGACATAAATACGCACTGCAAGAAAATGCACAAAGCATCCTGTGTTTTGAAAATGTAAGAATGAAAACTAGTAGTTAATGTCAGTGCTTTTAGAATAATAGTTGTAGATCATTGAAATTAATGAGAGAAATAAACACAAAGTGCCTGTTACTAAAGAAAATTCACTAACAGCTCAAATTTTATGGAACTTTAATATTAACTGAAACTAGAAAAAATTTAAATGTTTTGAGAAATGCCATAAGAATGTCTAATAACAATAAAAATATTTTTCTTGTGGATTTATCCTTACCTGGTGAAAATTGTATATGTGAAAATATCTATAATAGCACATATTCCTACATTCATAATCAGGCCATTTACTATTTGAGAGCAAAGACATGGTAATTTGTATTCTGTTATGGGTGCTAAATGTGTATTTTTAATATTGGTCAGTTACATTGGAATATTTTTTTGCTTGATCCTATATGCTTCAAATTTTGTCACTATAGGTTAGCCACCTTGTTTGTTATGCTTTGCCGGAACAGAGGAGTTGGGAAAAAGAAATTTCTAATTTGTAATTTAAACTTTGTAATACATTGATTGTTCCCCAGAGTATTTATAACAAGTGTTTCTGATATTAGACTCATTCTTTTTTTGTGTTTAAAGAAGGCATTTCATTGGTGCGGTTAGGAGAAAAAACAAAGGTTTTAGTAAAACATGATTTTACCTGATGGTTTTGCTACATGATCTCATACAAGCTAATCAATCTCCTTGAGACTCAAGTTCCTCAGTTATATAATGGAGAGACTATGACTTACCTCCCAAGGTACAATGGTGGAGATACAGTAGGTGCTCAGTCTATTTACTCATTCATGCAGTGTTCATTGAGCACCTATTATGCACTAAACACCACACGTAGTTCTCAAGAATATGAAAAAAACACAAAGAACCTTACCTTTAAGAGGTTAAGTTTAGTAAGGAGTGACGTCTCCTTTACCCAATGACTACTCTAACTTTTCTTAGAAAGTATGCTTTGAAGTGGAAAGAATAAAGTATAGGCATAAATATTTCTGATGAAATTAACTTGTGTTTTCACTGAACTTCACAGCAAAGTATCTTTTACTTGTATGTCAGGGAGAAGAGAGTGAGAGGACTGCAGTAATGTCTACTCATATGGTGGGTTTCAGGGATTAGAGGGAGAACAGAAATAAAACACCTGGCTCACAACAAAGGTTAGATTCATTCTCTTCCCCTTTTATTATTTATCATATTCTTTCTTTTATTGTTGTTCAGTTACAGTTGTCCCCACTTCCCCCCCATTGCTCTCCACTGCCCCGTCCAACCACCACTCCCAGTGACAATCCCCTCCCCATTGTCCTTGTTCATGGGTCCTTTTTACATGTCCCTCTTCTTTCCCCCGTTGCTATCCCCCTCTGTCTTCCCATCTGGTCCCTGTCAGTTTGTTCTTTATTTCCAAGTCTCTGGTTCTTTTTTGCTCATTTGTTTGTTTTGTTGATTAGGTAAGATCATATGGTATTTGTCTTTCACTGCCTGGCATATTTCACTTAGCATATGTATCATATTCTTATTAACATACTAAAATCAGTTTTGAGTCCACAAGTAATATGCTCAAAGAAAAGCTATGGTGATAGAGTGCTTGAAAATGAAAGCTATGAGAAAAAGTTAAGGAAATGGTGGGATCTCTACATGAGGGGCCTCCAGGTGCCAGGGAACCTTGAAAGGAAGGTGAACCAAGGATATATAGAAGGTCATCTTTGGAGCTAATCAGCCAGAGACCTGGGAGGCTCTGCACAATGTTACATGCAGTGTCTACATAAAAGAATTCACAATATTTAAGCTACAGAATGTAAAACTAAGAAACAACCTGGTATATAGGGAGATTACATGTTAAGAGGTATGTTTTAGCTGTTTTTGTGAAGTGGAATATTTAAGAATTTAAAGGGCTTCGACCCCAGTAAAATATGTCAACATACATTGTTTAAAATGCAATTCCAGAAGGTTGGTGGATTCTGGGTCAAGAACCCATTAAAAGTACATAATCTCCATGGAAGAAATAATATGGGAGGATTAATTTAAACCACAGCACTAGAATTCTCGATTAATCAGGAACACTTATTTGATAATAAAAGCTACTAAATGCCACAATGAGATACTAATGCCAACACGGTTCTTATAAATGGGGAAAATTCTCATTTTTCTGGAACTATTTAAAAATAAGACAGAGTTTGGGCAGCATCTCACAGTTTCTTCAATCTCTTATGTGCTAAAATGTGTGTAATATGTCTTCTTATTAACCTGAACATAAATAAGAATGTGGCTATCAGAATAGTATCAAGATAATATTTCTCTGACTAGTGCTCTAACTGCCACTAATTTATTCAGAAACATTCAGGGTGATCTCAGATGTGTTATCATACCTAGTTCTCTGCTGTAATCTCCAGTTTTTAAAAATAACCTACTCCTTTCAAGGTTTTTGAGCACAGATCTATAACTATTAATTTATTTAGAAATTATATGTTATACTTTTTAACTAATATTCCAAGCAAATTACTAGAGATATGAAAAAAGGAATTAAGAAAGATTAAATAAATAAAATATAGTTTGATTTTGTAAAAATTTCTTCCCCGACGGGATTATCTTGCACACCCCTGGGATCTATGTGCCCACTTTGGGGACCTCTATACAAGATCCTTCCTTAGGCAAAAGCACTTTGCTTGCTCACAAAGAAAAAGAATGAGAGCTTTTTACTGGGGACCTGGGACAGAGAGGAACTTAACAGGATTCTGCATCGTAACCCATTTTTACTAGTTATATCAACAAGAAAGACTCGTCAGGAAACAGAATATAAAAGTACCAGCCCAATTATGGAACTTGGGCAGTTTCTTTAAATGTTTTAATCTGTTGCCTCTTTTGTAAAACTGAATGGTTTGCTGTGATGATCAAATAGGTGATATAATACTGTGTGTATTTTCTTTTATTTATTTATTTATTAATATATTTTTAAATTTTATTGATTATGCCATTACATTTGTTCTATTTCCTCCTTCATTCCCCACCACCCTGCATACCTCTCCCCCACCATTCCCCCCTTTAGTTCATGAACACGTGTCTCAAGTTCTTCAGATTCTATATTTCCCCTACTATTCTTACCCTCCCACTATCTATTTTCTATCTACTGTCTATGCTACTTATTTTCCACACCTTCTCCCCCATTCTCCTTCTCCCACTCCCCTGTTGCTAACCCTCCATGTGATCCTCATTTCAATGGTTCACTCCTGATCTAGCTGTCCTCTTAATTTGCTTTTGTTTTAGGTGTAGTTGTTAATAACTGTGAGTTTGCTGTCCTTTCGCTGTTCATCTTTTTTATCTTCTTTTTCTTAGGTAAGTTCCTTTAACATTTCATATAATAAGGGCTTGCTGATGATGAACTCCTTGAATTTGATCTTATCTGAGATGCACTTTATCTGTCCTTCCATTCTAAATGAAAGCTTTGCTGGATAGAGCAATCTTGGTTGTAGGTCTTTGGATTTCATGACTTGGAATACCTCTTTCCAGCCCCTTCTTGCCTGTAAGGTCTCTTTTGAGAAATCAGCTGACAGTCTGATGGGAACTCCTTTGTAGGTGAGTGTCCCTTTATCTCCTGCTGCTTCTAAAATTCTCTCCTTCATTTTAATCTTGGCTAATGTAATGATGATGTGCTTTGGTGTGTTCCTTCTTGGGTCCAACTTCTTTAGGACTCTGTGAGCTTCCTGGATTTCCTGGAAGTCTATTTCCTTTGCCAGAATGGGGAAATTCTCTTTTATTATTTGTTCAAATAAGGTTTCCACTTGTGACTGTTCCTCTTCCCCTTCTGGTACTCCTATAATTTGGATGTTGGAACGTTTCAAGATGTCCTGGAGCTTCCTAAGCCTCTTCTCATTTTTTTGAATTCTTGTTTCTTCATCCTTTTCTGTTTGGTCATTTTTTTCCCTCTTTCTGGTCTACTCCTTTGATTTGAGTCCCAGTTCCCTTTCCATTACTATTGGTTTCCTGTGCACTTCCCTTCATTTCAATTAGTTTAGCCTTGATATGTTCTTCTAATTTGTGACTAAAATCAACCAGTTCTATTAGCATCCTGATCACCAGTGTTTTGAACTGTGCATCTGAAAGTTTGGCTATTTCTTGGTCGCTTAGAATTATGGGCTCTGGGGCTTTGAGTTCTTCTTGAGCCATAATGTTTTGCTGTGTTCGCTCCTGTTACATATGAGGAGAGGCACCTTAGGTGTTCACCAGGGCAGGGCCACCCAGGTCACTGGTTTGTGATGCTGTATGTGGGGGCAGAGTCAGAGAGGGAGCAATGGCAGTCCTCTCCGCTCT